ACTGAGGCAGCAGCAGTTTCAAACTGAGAGAAAAGGAAAGTATTATCAAACCTTTCTTGTTTCTTTAGTTTGAAAAAATAATTTTTGAATTCCAATTTTTTTTTTTCAGTTTAAACAAAAAGTGAAATTGAATAAAGTTTCTTCTCCCAGTTTCACTCCATTCTCCCTCATGAAGTCTAGTTTGTCTTTCTAGACGATGGTGCTGGTTGGATGTCAACCTGATCTTGTGTTGCGTTTCTCACACTTAGCCAGATGTTTCTCATGCCTGGCCTCCAGGTCAGGTTCATGTCCTGCAGGTCAGGTTCATGTCCCCCAGGTTTAGCTTCATGTCCTCCAAGTCAGCTTCATGGCCTCCAGGTCAGGTTCATGTCCTCCAGGTCAGGTCATGTCCTCCAGGTCAGGTTCATGGCCTCCAGGTCAGGTTCATGTCCTCCAGGTTAGCTTCATGTCCTCCAGGTCAGCTTCATGTCCTCCAGGTCAGCTTCATGTCCTCCAGGTCAGCTTCATCCCCTCCAGGTCAGGTCATGTCCTGAAGGTCAGGTTCATGGCCTCCAGGTTAGCTTCATCTCCTCCAGGTCAGCTTCATGTCCTCCAGGTTAGCTTCATCTCCTCCAGGTCAGCTTCATGTCCTCCAGGTCAGGTTCATGTCCTCCAGGTCAGGTCATGTCCTCCAGGTCAGGTTCATGGCCTCCAGGTCATGTCCTCCAGGTCAGCTTCATCCCCTCCAGGTCAGGTTCATGTCCTCCAGGTCAGGTCAGGTCAGGCCAGGTCCTCCAGGTCAGCTTCATGTCCTCCTTCATGCAGTATAAACTCAGCCATCCTCCTTTTCTCCTCTGCAGGGATTTTGATGCCAGTCTGTATCTTTGTGAAGAGGCCTTCGGCCTTCTGCCCCTGGACACGTTGGAGCGTCTGGCCGGCACGCTGCTTTTGTACCCCTACATCCCCACCGTGCTGCTGCTCAGCGGCACGCTGGTAGCAGCAGTGCTGCAGAACCTCAGGTAGGCGGAGCTCAGAGTGCGATAAGGAGCGAGTGTCTCATGGTGTGATGGAGGGAGATCTACGGCTGGGTAGATGAGGTCAGGCGTTTCTTGTGGATGGAGGAACCCAGAGCCGAGGTTCTTCTCTCCTCCAGAACTTTTCCTTCCTGCTTTGAACCAGCAGCTTCATCCTGCAGCTGCCTGTAAAGAAAGGTGATAGGCTGCTCTGAACTAATCACATTAGCATTTCCACTCGCCCTGTGCTGCTGGACGGCTGGAATACTAACCTCACAGAACAAACACTGTTTGCCAATCCAGGAATTAATTGAATCCAGAGCAGCCAGGCTCACGCAGCAGAGGGAGAGGGATTTGATTTCTATTCAAATGGAAGCCAGTGTCCGTCTGATTCGGAGCAGGAGGCCAGATCGTGGGAGTAATACCACCGCCTTCAGGGCCGCTCTGTTTGCATGTGCTGACTCCTGCAGACAGAAACGCTCGTGGGCGTGCATCATTACATGTCCACTTGCGTGCAAGCTGCTAATGAAATCTGAACAAGAGCTGCTGAAATTGGAATAATCTGAACAATATAAATTCCGCCCACCCTCCGTCCTGCCTCTCCTCTTAGGGCGTCTGCTTCTGATGTTTTATGTATTTACTGTGGGTTCCCTAACGCGTGTTTTCTGCTTTAATGTCTGGTTTGGGTTTCTTATTAGGCCTAAAGGAGGAGGAGTGGAGGCTTTCCGCCCAGATGTGGCCTACAACCTGCTGCACACCGTCCTCTATGGGCTCCTGGCCTTCAGCACCATGAGGTAAACCTTAATCTCCGGATGCTGACTCCCAGACAGCCTTCTTCTCACAGGAGGCTCTTCAAACCTCCTTTTTCTCTCATGAGTTAATCAGTCATACTCATGCACAGATGTTAAACACAAGGACCTCTCCAATCCATTTCACTAAGCACCTTAATGGTTTATGCAGCCTTGATCAGCACCAAGTGCTTACAGCTTTGTGCCGTTTTTGGAATTCTCTCTAGAACAAAAGATTCTGATGGGAACCTGATTGCTGAGCCTCCGATCGACACTCTGTCCATTAATGTGAGATCTGAAAGGGTTCCGATGAATGAGCAGCGGAAACTATCCACCCTCCTTCACTCTTTATTCCCTCTGCTGCATCATAGACTCATTCCAAAACTGATAACGGATCATTAAACAATAAAAATCTAATAACGGAAAGTGAAGAAAGCAAAAACGTGCTTTTAGACGCATTCTTCTGCAGCGGACTGGAGAAGAAAGTTCATTTTCACTTTTTTTCCCCAACTTATTTTACAGTAGGTAATATATAATGTGAGGGCTCATCTAATTGGTGAAATGCCAAAATAAGATGTACAGCCATGTAGCAGCATCTTTACTGAATGGCTGGATATAGATCTTGTGATTCTAGATTTCACTGAGGGACGAGGGGGCAGTGGTGCCACCAGAGGGTGGCCAGGAGTGGCCACGGCCACCCTGTGAAATGCCCTGGCCACCCCACTGGCCACACCACTGGCCAGGGTAAATTGTAGTTAAAAACACAAAATAAACCAAGACATAAGTAGGTGTTTAGTTAAGTCTTTGTGATTTCTGGAGGCACGTTTACCATAAAAGTAGATTCTAACCCTAAAATTATGGCTTTGCGTTTCAGTGTGCCACTCCACTAAAAAGTGGCCCCATCTGGCAACCCCTGTGAAACATTTCTGTAGGCGCCACTGAAAGGGGGGGGGACTCCATTTGTAAGGATTATGCAAGTGATCAAAAACAGTAACTTGTCCTATAAAGGGTTAAACCCGGCAGTGTGATGCTGCTGACTCTAGGCTTTGGTTTCCTGACCAAAGACTAGTCTCCTTTCACTGCTAGTCAGTGTTTGGTGAATCAAAGCTGACCGCGCCACTGTTTGGTTTAATTTTCTCCACAGAATGAAGTACATCTGGACCGGTCACATGTGTGCGGTGGCAGCCTATGGTGTGTGTGGCACTGAGATTTGGACTCTTTTGCTCAAAGTTCTCCGTTGCAACACTAAAGCTCTGGTATGAATGACCCCACCTCCACATGTAAAGCTGTTTTTTCTTTCTCTGCTGTAATGGAAAGTGGCTTTTATTGAATCCTATCTCTGCCTCCCCTCCCTGCGAGTCTGACCACTAGGTGTCAGTGTGGTCCTAACATCAGAGCAGCAGGTTTCCCCCTCCCTCCCATTCTCTGCCTGTCTCCCTCCTCCTCTCACATGGCTCTTCTCATACTCTGCGTTCACCTGAACTTCATCATAGTTTTTGTTTCTCCTCTGTTTGCAGCTGCGGGTTGTCAGATATGCGGTTCCCCTGCTGCTGATTGGCTGGCTGTATTACAAGGTAGGCCGTTTCTTGGATGGTTGGACCCCTGCTGCGTTAGCAGCTCCCTCTCTAATCCCTGCTTAGGGAGCCGAATCAACTAATGAGAAAATAAATGAAAGAATAATTAAAAAAAACAAACCTTTTATCATTTGTTTTAACATTAAACACAAACTGAACTCAGATTGTGATGAAAATCAAAAATAACTGAAGTAAAACTTGGATATAAAAAGATAAATTAGTTGGGAAATTAGTGGAAATTGCAGCTTATGCCTTCAGTGAGCTGCCAAACCTATGAAATGAGTTTTTCATTTAATCCAAATTCCTTTTTTCTTTGTCATAATCGCATCCATGAACCCAGGCAGTGTTTAATGCTTTGGTTATTGAACAGATTTCAATGGTTTAATAGAAGGAATGACGGCTGCAGCTCAGCTAACCCATCAGTGGAAGATCACATGGTTGACATTCTGATTATGAACAACCCCCCACCCCCCCCTAAAACAGCTGGAGTCTGCTGTGAAGGAGGCTGATCGTCTCTGTTGATGTAGAAATTCTTCTCTGCTGGAGGAGGAGATGCTGCAGAGCTGTGAGGGTTCCACGCTGTTGCTCATGCCACACTTCCTCTCCGCCTCCTCGCCGGGGTCCATTACCTTCTCCCACAGGTTGCAGAACATCCACCCACCCCTCACCCCACCTGTAAAGGCTGTTTAAGGCTCATGGAGGCTGGTAGCGGCTGTTTGAGGATAATGGGGGATGATTGAGGCTGTTGGAGGCTGATGGCAGGTGTTGGAGGCTGATGGAGGCTTGCAGAGGTTGATGGGGTCTGATGGGGGCTGATGGAGGCTGTTTTTGGCTGATGGGGCCTGATGGAGAATGTTAAAGGCTGATGGAGAATGTTAGAGGCTGATGGGTGCTAATGGAAGCTGATGGGGACTGATGGAGACTCTTAAAGGCTGTCGGAGGTGGAATGGGGGGGCTCATGGAGGCTGTTAAGGCTGATAGAGGCTGATGGAGGCTCTTAAAGGCCCAAGGAGGCTCTTAAAGGCTGATGGGGGCTGATGGAGGCTGATGGAGGCTCTTAAAGGCTGATGGGGGCTGATGGAGGCTCTTAAAGGCTAATGAGGGCTCTTAGAGGCTAATGGGGGCTCTTAGAGGCTGATGGAGGCTCTGAAAGGCTGATGGGGGCTCTTAAAGCCTGATGAGGGCTCTTAAAGGCTGATAGGGGCTGATGGAGGCTCATGAAGGCTCTTAAAGGCTAATAGGGGCTGATGGAGGCTCTTAAAGGCTGATAGGGGGCTGATGGAGGCTCTTAAAGGCTGATAAGGGCTGATGGAGGCTCTTAAAGGTTGATAGGGGGCTGATGGAGGCTCATGGATGCTTTTAAAGGCTGATGGATGCTGATGGGTGCTGAAGGAGGCCTATGGAGGTTGATGCGGCCTGATGGAGGCTCTTAAAGGCTGATGAGGGCTGATGGAGGCTCCTAAAGGCTGATGGAGGCTCCTAAAGGCTGATGGAGGCTCTTAAAGGCTGATGGGGGCTGATGGAGGCTCTTTAAGGCTGATTGGGGCTGATGGAGGCTCCTAAAGGCTGATGGAGGCTCCTAAAGGCTGATGGAAGCTCCTAAAGGCTGATGGAGGCTCTTAAAGGCTGATAGGGGGCCAATGGAGGATCATGGATGCTTTTAAAGGCTGATGGATGCTGATGGGCGCTGAAGGAGGCTTATGGAGGTTGATGCTGCCTGATGGAGGCTTTTAAAGGCTGATGGAGGCTCTTAAAGACTGATGGAGGACCGATGGAGGCTTTTAAAGACTGTTGGAGGGATTACATGAATCCAGTAGGACCCAGCAGGAAACGTCTGGGAACGGCTGCATTAAACTGATTGACGCTTCCTTAATGGCGCAGCAGCTTCAGTCGCTAAAGGCCGCGGTGATGCACTTCATCGGTGCTAAAGGAGAACTTAGCAAACCTTGGATTCATACATTGTTCAGGTCACAGATTTTCTGCTCAGTCGCTCCATATTTCTGTGATAAAAAACTGTTTTTTGTTTTCATTTTCCTGGGAACTGAATCTGATTTTAAATGATTGGCTTTGAGTTAAATCAGCCGTAAATTATTATCATCCAATCAACAGAAGAAACCCATTAATGATCAAAGCTCTGATGGTGATGATCAGCAAAACATTCTAGTTTTAACTTTTGAATTTTAAATTAAATAATAATTTAATTATTTATTTAAATAATATTTCAGTTTTCCTCAGGCTTTGCCTCTTGTACTTCTTCTGTAGTTCTGGCCTAAGCTGATGGAGGAGCTGTCAGATCTGAGGGAGTTCTATGATCCAGACACCGTGGAGCTGATGACCTGGATTAGGTAGGAACGCACGCCTCCACATTTCCACATGTAGAGCAGCCGGTATAACCATGCACATTTGATTAGCGTGTTTCAGGCTTCGCTCGCCTGATTAGTGTGTGAGCTCTTGTTTCCCGGGGAGTCTGGCTGATGAGTGATGAGAGTCGATGGGTCTCCATGAATAAGACATGGGCGTGCTAGAAGGGGCCCCGCTGCTGGAGGAGCTCTAACCCACCTAAGGATCTCTGGGGCCAGAGCAGAAGCAGGGGCCCCGTACGGACAAGCCGCTTGGTGTTTTGGGGTTTAAACACAATCTGTTCTTTGCTAAAAGTGTTCTAAGTCTTTGGAGCTTTTCCATTTTTCACACATCAACTAGATGAATATATTTTGTGTTAGCCTCTGAATCTGCATGATGGTGTGCTAGAAATAAGATGCATAGATCTGCAGGTCTCAACTGTAGATGTTTTTTCTTCTGGAGGCTGATTTTAATCATTCATGGTCAACCAGGTCTGCTGACGCTGAGCCTCCGGTTCAACATCACTAGCATGCTATCGCTACTAGCATGGTCTGATAGTTCTTTGGTTATTTAAAAAAAAACACATCAGACATCGACCTTTTCTCAACATGTACACGTGATTCCTCGTGTACTCGTTAAACGTCATCAGCCTCAGCCCTAGCACTGTTCCAATTCACAAGAACAAGAAGAGACAGAACGGACAAAGTCCCCGGATGTTGCTCTCGCCCCTCCCTCTTCAGGGCTCAATGTTAACCAGCGCCCGATTGCCCAGTGCAAGTAGTTTTTATCGTCAGGAGAGTACAAATTTCATTGCATTTACCCGCCGGGCAAGTGCAATGATCGCAAAAAAATTATTTATCACTCAAAATCACTTTAAAATCACTGACATTCGCTGAAAACGACCCACAGCGTTGCCAGCGCCATTTTTGTTGTTTTGTACACATTCTCGTGTGATTTGAAAAAGGAACGTGATTTTCCGCTAGATGGCGTGATTCAGCTCTTGGGGAGAGAATTCTGCAGAGCAGCAGCTGGATGATGAATTTAATCTATACTATAATACACGCT